GTAGAGTACAGTAGAGTAACGTAGAGTGTCATATAGTAAAATAGAGTGTTGTCGAGTAGATTGCAGTAGAGTGTCGTAGAGGAGAGTAGAGTGTCGTAGAGAAGAATAGTGTAGAGTAGAATAGAGTAGAGTAGAGTAGAATAGAGTGTAATAGAGTAGAGTAGAGTGTCGTAGAGTAGAGTAGAGTGTTGTATAGTGTCGTAGAGTAGAGTAAAGCAGAGTAGAGTTTTGTAGAGTGCCATAGAGTGTCGTAGAGTAGAGTAGAGCAAAGTAGAGTAGAGTAGAGCAGAGTAGAGTGTCGTAGAGTGTCATAAAGTACAAAAGAGTGTCCTAGAGTACAGTAGAGTGTTGTAGAGTGTTGTAGAGTGTCGTACAATAGAGTGTCGTAGAGTGTCGTAGAGTGTCGTAGAGTGTCGTAGAGTGTCGTAGAGTGGTCGTAGAGTAGAGTGTCGTAGTGTAAAGTACAGTAGAGTAGAGTGTCATAGAGTAGAGTAGAGTAGAGTGTCACAAAATAGAGTAAAGTAGAGTAGAGTAAAGTAGAGTAGAGTGTCCTAGAGTATTGTAGAGTGTCATAGAGTAGAGTAGAGTTTCGCAGAGTAGAGTAGAGTAGAGTAGAGTGTTATAGAGTGCCATAGAGTAAAGTAGTGTCGTAGAGTGTCGTTGAGTAGAGTAGAGTGGAGTAAAGTGGAGTAGAGTACAGTGTTGTCGAGTAGAGTAGAGTGTCCTAGAGTGTCGTATAGTAGACTAGAATGTCGTAGAGTAGAGTAGAGTATCCTACAATGTCGTAGAGTAGAATAGTGTTGTAGAGTAGAGTAGAGTGTCCTACAGTGTCATAGAGTAGAACAGAGTGTTGCAGAGTAGAGTAGAGTGTTGTAGAGTAGTGTAGAGTGTTGTACTGTAGAGTGGAGTGTCGTACAGTGTCGTAGAGTGTCGTAGAGTGTCGTAAAGTGTCGTAGAGTGTCATAAAGCGTCGTAGAGTAGAGTGTCTTAGACTAGAGTAGAGTGTAGTAGAGTAGAGTAGAGTAGAGTAGAGGAGAGGAGAGGAGAGTAGAGTAGAGGAGAGGAGAGGAGAGTAGAGTAGAGTAGAGTAGAGTAGAGTAGAGTAGAGTGGGTAGAGTAGAGTGGAATAGAGTAAGAGTAGAGTGGAATAGAGTATAGTATGGTAGAGTAGAGTAGAGTAGAGTAGAGTTTTGTAGAGTGCCGTACAGTGTCATAGAGTATAGAAGAGTGTCGTAGAGTAGAGTACAGTAGTCGTAGAGTAGAGTAGAGTAGAGTAGAGTAGAGTAGAGTAGAGTAGAGTAGTGTCGTAAAGTAGAGTAGAGTAAAATAAAGTAAAGTAGAGTAGAGTGTCATAGAGTAAAGTATTGTAGAGTGTCGTAGAGTAGATTGTTGTAGAGTGTCTTAGAGTAGCGTAGAGTGTAGTAGAGTAAAGTAGAGTAGAGTAGAGTAGAGTGGGTAGAGTAGAGTAGAGTAGAGTAGAGTAGAGTAGAGCAGAGTAGAGTAGAGTAGAGTAGAGCGTTGTAGAGTGTCTTAGAGTAGAGTAGAGTAGAGCATAGTGTAGAGTGGGTAGAGTAGAATAGAGTAGAGTAGAGTGTCGTAGATTAGAGTAGAGTGTTATTGAGTAGAGTATTATTGAGTAGTGTCGTAGAGTAGAGTGTTGTAGAGTGTCTTAGAGTAGCGTAGAGTATAGTAGAGTAAAGTAGAGTAGAGTGGAGTAGAGTGGGTAGAGTGTCGTAGAGTGTCGTAGAGTAGAGTGTCATAGAGTGTCGTCAATTAGAGTAGAGTAGAGTGTTGTAGAGGGTCTTAGAGTAGAGTAGAGTGTAGTAGAGTAGAGCATAGCGTAGAGTGGGTACAATAGAGCAGAGTAGAGTAGAGTGGAGTGTCGTAGAGTAGAGTAGAGTACAGTAGAGCATCGTAAAGTGTCGTAGAGTAGAGTATAGTGTAGTAGAGTATAGTGTCGTAGAGTGTCATAGAGTGTTGTAAAGTAGAGTAAAGTACAGTAGAGTGTCGCAAAGTAGAGTTAAGTAGAGTAGAGTAGAGTAGAGTGTTATCGAGTGTCGTAGAGTGTCGTAGAGTGTCGTTGAGTAGAGTGTCATAGAGTGGAGTAGAATACAGTGTTGTAGAGTAGAGAAGAGTGTCCTAGAGTGTCGTAGAGTAGAGCAGAATGTCGTAGAGTGGAGTAGAGTACCGTGTCATAGAGTATAGTAAAGTGTCCTACAATGCTGTAGAGTACAATAGAGTGTTGTAGAGTAGAGTAGAGTAGAGTGTCCTACAGTGTCGTAGAGTAGAGTCGAGTGTCGTAGAGTGTTGTAGAGTGTCTTAGAGTAGAGTAGATTATAGTAGAGTAAAGTAGAGTACAGTAGGGTGGGTAGAGTGTCGTAGAGTTGAGTAGAGTGTCGTCGAGTAGAGTAGAGTAGAGTGTTGTAAAGTGTCTTAGAGTAGAGTTTAGTAGAGTAGAGCAGAGTAGAGTGGGTAGAGTAGAGTAAAGTAGAGTAGAGTAGAGTAGAGTAGAGTAGAGTAGAGTAGAGTAGAGTACAATAGAGTAGAGTAGAGTAGAGTGTCGTATAGTGTCATAGAGTATAGTAGAGTAGAGTGTCGTACGACACTCTACTCTACTCTACTCTACTCTACGACAGTCTACGACACACTAGGCCCTCAAAATTGCAAGATCGCAAAATGAGTGGCCAGATCGAGTCCTTCGTTTACAAGAACTCAATCCGGCCACTCATTTCACGATTTTGCGATTTTCAGGGCCTCCTGTGAGTATGCCCTTAGAGGTTTTAACTTCACAGCATAACTGCATCATCAAGCTCGCGCATCCCAGCTACAGACCTGCGACCTTCGACTGCTCAATCTGAATAGTGCCATACGCTCACCGTTCTTAAGTAGTACTCAAAAGGGCTCATCCTTGTGGATGCCTCGCGAGGTCTTCCATGAACCTCAGTCTGTTCACGGTTTCCCTCCTGACCTATCAAAAAAAATGATTGAAAATTTAAAAAAGCAAGAACTTAAAGTTGAAACGTTTTTCCTTCGTAAGCGCTTCATCACGTCACGTGGTCTCTCACCATCTGCAGTTCTGAGCTTCAGGATTTCAGTGGGGCTTCGTTGTTTCAGCTGTGGGAGTTACTTGTTCCCGCTTGGTTACCGATCCAGTCTCCCGACCCTTACCCTAACTCCTGTTTGGCATATCCCGCTGAGTCACTCAAATCCTGTGAATAGGACATGCTGGTCCAATTTTCCTCAGGCTGAAAGCATCCTCGTCGTTTGAAGGCAGTGCACTGCTTGAAATGGTCGGCAAACGACTCGGCATTCTCACATTCAATGTTGATATCGATTGCACTACGTAGCGTTGGAACGCCAGCGTGAGAGTGAAATAACCTTGGAGCATGCCGTTGACTTCTGGCAAGGTGGCGTGCGTAGAATGAGAGGCCACCAGTAGTGAAAGATAGGATGCCAACATTTTGAGGTGGCGATTCAGGAGGAGGAGAGCCTGGAGCAGCAAGAGGGAGGATGAGACTTGAATACTATATTTGACGATTACCTCTTGGAGTTTTGTATGCATTGATTCCATCCTGGGGGTTATTCCTCCCTACATTTCTTCTTCCCGTTGTCTTGTCATGTGACAGTTTTGCTATCTCTATCTGGGTTATCATTCATTTGAGCATCCTAAGTTCATGCATGATGATGATGATGATGATGCGAGCTTCATTTCATTACACATTAGTACTTGTTTGGTGATTCAATAAATCAATTACTTCCAATGGCAAGGAAATACAGGACAGACGGTGAAGGGTTTTCAGTGCACCCAGCAAACAGCTGAAGGTGACGGAATGAGGAACAGGCTATGCGGCAAGCTTTTCAGTAAATGTGTAGTTCATCGTGACAGTATGGCAGGGTTAGGGGAATGCCATGACAGTCCCACTGCAAAAGACTGTAAATTGACTGCACAAAAGCACCTGCATGGATGCTTCCTGATAGCAGATTTCCTCGAGAAAACAGAGGCAAAAACTACAAGATAACTGAACAGCAGCTCGGTGGGATCAAATATGAGAGAGAAGGCTGTGTGCTGATTGGTTTGTTTGATGGACTTTGACGCTGAATTGTGTGAAAGCGGCAGCCAAATGAAGATAGCCACCGTATGCCAGCAACGGGCAGGAAATTAATACAGCACGACGGACTGTACAGGATATGGACGTACCTCCATGAAACTGTCTGGCATCGCAGACTAGAGAAGATTGCCACCAGTAACAGTGGTGAAAGGCAAGAAAAAAACCACCATTTGACGAACGAACCATGGATATACGACATAACAGCGTATGATAAATTGTGATGTCCCCAAGATAACGTGACAAGAAAGACAGCGCACAAGCAAAATATTGTGATGTTATTCGCAGCCCTGAGAAGCCACATGATCAATGTGACGGACAAACTATGACAAATGCATCAGGGTTACAGAAGGGGAGTGCTATTACACAACAAAACGTACAATGTCAAGCTGACTCTCTGTCAGCTTCATCATCGCCAACTTTGTTTCTTTGATTTTCTGAGCCAGCTCCTTCTTCATTCTGTCCTTTTCCTGAACAGCTTTGCGCTCGATATCTCCCATCGCCTCTTCATGCTCTTTCCTTTCTTTCTCCAATTGCTGCTGGAGCTTTGACAAAGCTTCCTCCATAGCTGCCTTTTTGTCAAGGAACTCCCTCACCTCCTGCAACTTAGCCTCCGTCCATATAACCCTAGACTGAAATGTGAAGAAGTGAAACAAAATGGAATTGGGTCAAGAAAATTAAAGCAATCAAGTCAGGACAAATCTGAAATGACCGGACAAGCAAAGGGAAAAGAATTGGACCTTGGACATGGTTATGTCTTTTGACCAGGAAACTGGCACCTTGGACATTAGTTACCTGGCAGATCTTGAACTGAGAAAACCAACCGTGCGAAGAACCAGCATGTGAGAACATAAAAAACAAGCTGAGCAGCAAGGGCATCATGGAAGACCTTGCACGAGTAGACCCAGCTGAAAGTAGATCCACAAGGCTGAGAGCACACCAATCCAAGAACACACTGAACACTGAAGTCTCCTCATACTGACAAATCAATACAACAACAGAGTAGTAGCCCGAAGCTATGATGTGTTCTTATATATTACTTCCCTACTCTAGCCTACTGCAAGGGATATGAGCACCCCCCACCCCTCCCCCCTCCCCTATTCCTGCCTGGCTGAGGCAGCAGACCCGGCCCAGCAGCAGCAGCGGACCCGGATTATGCGATGTGAGGGGATCACCCGGTACATCATGCGAGAGCCAAAGGGAAAAGGATACAGGATGCCTGCACGGACATGACCAAGGACGAGGAGACCCCGGCTTTAGGAGGGAGGGAGACGCAAGGAATGCATAAGCATGTGATTGGGTAACAGCAGCCACGACATGACAAGGCCTGATGGACACACTGCCCCAGCAGAGGCAACTGCAACCACTGAGATACAACATGTATGGGGGAAGACTACAGAGAGCTCTTAGGGAGTAACAAACGGCCACCATAGGTTACAACTGGATAGATAGTGCTCAAACAATGACATAACTATAAGTACAACATGATACTCTGGCTTCCAAGTATACTGTGAAGGGACGCTGGACCTGGTTTCCAGCAGGTGCAGCTCCCACCAATGGAACGGAGCCATCCAAGAGGGGGAACAGTAGAGGGGCAGTCTTCTCGTATCAGCAGTCCCCCCACACCCCGTCGTCTGATGTTTGCTTTAAAAAACAAAAAAACAAAAAAATAAAAAATAAAAAAAGGAATATGAGCAACGTGAGTGCCAACAAGCCAAATTGCAGCATTCCATAGAAATCCAGATAACTTGTCCACAAACTGTGGGCAGATTGCACCACGTGATACTCCAAATAAGAAAGAGCAAAGCACTGAAGCCAATCGATACTGAAAGCCCTCTTCTCGCCTCCAACACCAATGGCCACAATGTCGCTCTCCTACATGGCACAGGTGCCTAGACTACAATCAGACAACACCTATCAATCTGGACTCCTAAACTACAACAGGTCTTCCATGAAGTACAGCACCCCAATGACAAATAAAGACTCTGAAGTTACGGCCCACTCATCATCAGCAGGTAAGCCCCTTTTACACTGCCCATACCTCAACTTCCACATCCCTGTCCCTCGCTCAAGGACCTCAGTCCAGCCTTCTCTGGCTTCGACTTTCCTCAGGGCCCGCCTTCACTTAGGGCGGGCGCAGACAGTTTCCTGTGGGCGCAGGCCCTTTCCATACTAGGCCAAGGGCCTCATGCTGTGCACTTCCTCCCCCTCTGATTCGATAGTCCTCCGAGAATTCCTTAATCCGGCACCTGCTGTCTCCCCTTCAGCATTCTTTCATAATGAGATACCACTTGAAGTGCTGTCTTCATCAGCTCCTCTCTGGTGAACCACCGATCCTCTTTCGGATTCGTATGATGCCTGAAAGCAACCCGGAATTGCATCTGTGGTTTTGACAGTCTTCCTCTGCCACGAGGCTTAGGTACAGGCATAAGTCTGCGCTCCACGATCTGATCGATATTCACATATCCAACCATGGTTGGGGGCAGCATTGATCTCCTTGAAGGAAATTCATCAGTTTCTACAAAAGGAAGGAGTTTGGAGGCGTGAAAGACTAGATGGGTACGTAGGTGAGGTGGAACGCAGATGGCGTATGATGGACGGCCCCCGAAGTCCTCAGGAATTCTTTAATGTCGCAACAGGACGACGATCACAGCCAATGGAAGGTACCCCGCCGGTGCTTATTTATAGACGCCCGGTCTTGTCTGTCCCCTAGGGATGGCCTGCCCTTCAGAACCCCTCTACAGCGCAGTGAGCAGACAAAGGACAAAGCAGCAAAGCATGCGTGCTCTACTCCCGGTGGGTTGGCATGGTGACCGTGACCCGGTGCTTCGTCCAGGGCCCTTCAGATAGCTCCGCCCTCTCCTTCCAGATGCTCCGCGTGAAGGCTGACGACTCTCAAGGTTGAGCGCACATGACTCCTCACATGAGAGGACTCTCAAGACAGAACACACATCCTCATGGTAAGAAGTGTCGAAGAAGGTAGATAAGGTTAGGTGCAACGTACCTAAAAATAGTTGCCCCCAATCACAGATATTCTCACCAGATGACCGATGTTGATTGTGATGACCAATTGCTGTTTCGGCACAACCAGCATTGCACAACCGTTCCACCTTAGCATCAATCACACACCGGATAGTTCTCATCACACTGCGAACACCCAATAATCACCACACAGCCTTCCTGGCGAACCCCTCTCCACCTGGGTCGCCTACTTATCTTCGCCCTCCTCACTACACACGTCCCACGGCACGGTCACTCGCCGTACACACCGCGTGCATGTACCGCATTAGGCAGAAGATAGCGCAAAATTAGCGCACCGAACCACAGCTCCGATACCAAATTGCAAGGAAGATGAGCAATAGCGAACTTCAGCAATCAAACAGCATCATACACATGAGACCAGACAATCGTGACCTCGAACCAAAAGCAGAATTGCATCACGAGTTTCACCAAATAAGAGCACACCAAAAGCTCATAATTGACAATGCTGGAATAGTCTCATCATCATCAACGAAGAACCAATGTTGATATCCTATCCGGCACTCGGCATCCAGACTACGAATGGCAGATCCTATCTAGCCTAGACTACAATGCCGATGATGACATCAACAACTTCCCAAGTACGAGCAGACCTCGGCCAATGCCGCACGCATCAAGCACCAGGTATGTCTCTCGTATCACTCACAGCCTCGTTCCCCAGCTCACAGATGCCACTTGCACCCAAGGACCACCATGCGCCCCATCCAGCATACAGCAGCGCAGCTCGGCTATGGCTGCCTGCTCCTTCCAGCTCGCCCGTGAGTGCGTGAGCCTGGCAGGTGATAGCGCAGCAGCACTTGCGCACAAAGCAGCCAGTGCCCAAATGTCCAATGCGTGGGCAGGCCCTTCCCTATATCGAAGTGGCCTGCTGCTGCGTGCTGTGCTGCGGTACTGGGCCCCGGCCTAGAAGCTTCCGGTAGGCCCAGGGAGGCTGAGCCTCAGTCCGAAGGAGACAGGCCCAGGGCCTGTGACGGTTCCCAGCACCCAACTGCCCTTAGCCTTTGTTCGGTCCACTTTGTGTATCCGGCCCAGGGCCTGCCTCAGTTACATGCAATGAAAGGCAGCCTGGGCCTGGGTGCTTCCAACCGACTGGCGCTGCGCAACTGCCTGAATTTCCCCAGTTGCGTAGTGACCCTGAAATGGCCTGTAGGGCCTTGGTCGTGCCTGCCTTCACTTAGGGCGGCCGCCTGTGTGAAGATTAGGCCCTGTAGGGCATATCGAGGCCCTATGCCTCGCACTGGCTAGGTTAGCGCTTGTGTTCGCGTTCAGCCCATAATCCACGAACGTTGGGTGGGGGACAGAGCCTGCAAATGGCTGGCCGTAACCGCGCCCAGCTGGCCCCGGCCCAACCCGACAGCTGCGGGCAAGTCTGGCTAGTCCATATCCCACCTGGTCATGTGTGGCCAGGTGATGGGAGGATGGCCCTGGGCCAGGTTGGGGGCAATTGTGGTGAAAAAAAGATGGGCCAGTTGTGGGTGGCCTCTTGTGAACAAAAAAGAAAATGGCCAGGTGTGGGCGCGTCTAGACTTGGGACGATCTCGGCGAAGCCGCGCGAGCGGATGAGACCGTGGTGGCGTCGGGATCGAGCGCCAGTGCAGTGTTCATGCGCTAACTGATGGCGCAGAGGCGGTCACAAATCTTGCTGCTGCAAAGTTGGACTTTGGGACTTTGGACTTTTTCTGCCGAGACGGCCTGACTACTACCGACCTACAACTCTTCGGCTACCGGACCCTACCGGAATCCTACAGACCTCTAGGACCCGAGACTACTACCGACCTACAACTCTTCGGCTACCGGACCCTACCGGAATCCTACAGACCTCTAGGACCCGAGGAACTGGGACCTACCCGGACCCCTGGAACTGGCACCAACTGGGACCCGTGGGGCTGGGAACAAATGGGACTCTGGGATCCGGACTCGGGAGACTGAAATAGCGTGAAATCCTTTCATCAGTTCTGATCTCACCTTTTCAGCTAGGTCCTGCACATCCCTATCACTTACTGAAGTTTTGGGTAATCCAAGATATTTGATCCACTTGTCAGTGTGTTCTGTTAGAACTAATTTTGTCTTGTCTGTAGCTGGCATACGTATGAAAACATGCGACAATTATAGTCAACAAGTGGACGTGCCGCAGCCACACTGCGGCAGAGGAGACAGACGAATAGGGGGGCGTGGCTGTTGTTGTTACACTGCTCGGGTTTCATTTTATTTTTTTTGTCGTCATATTCGCTATACAGTAGTATACACTCAAAAAAAACATGACTGTGGCAGACTGTTTCCGAGTGATCAGGAGGTTGTGTGTGTGTGAGAGAGAGAGAGTCTCTCTCTCTCTCTCTCTCTCTCTCTCTCTCTCTCTCTCTCTCTCTCTCTCTCTCTGTGTGTGTGTGTGTGTGTGACACACACACGCGCGCGCGCACGCGCCCAGGCAGGGCCACTTCAACAGTTTCATGTGTGCATGAACTGAGCAGCCTTCGAATGTGCAAAATGAGAAGGAGAATATGGAGTAAGGGGCTGTGAGATGCAACCCCATCCCGAATCCCCTCCCCCTCCTTCTCCCCCTCCTTCTCCCACTACTCCTCCCGCTCCTCCTACC